CTACAGAGCTCTTGTACCTGAACATCACCAATAGTCGTGGTTCTTCAACATCCAAGAGAGTTGAAACCACCCCAGGGCTTTTCTGAGCAAGAGCACTTTCTGACAGATGCACAGTGAAAAGGTACCGCAGTTACATGTACACCACTGAACTCCCCACCCGGACACGATTTTGAGAGCAGAACGCTTTTTGCCTCTTGCAGACCAATCCCCCAAGGCGTCTGCACAGTTCCCTTAGAAGAGGGATGGGGAAGAAGCGGCTGAGCCCAAGTGACTTTGTGCCCCTGCATTTGTGCCCAGGGCCATCGGGAACCAAACGGAGAGGTGGCCAACAGCGCTGCAGCAGCGGCTCCTCGCACAGCTTCACTACAAAGGGCTTGTGTGGGGAGCGAAAAGTCACCTTCTGAAACCAAGGAGTTAATTAACAAGAGGGGAAAGAGAAGCACATGGGTGTCGGCCTAAGGCAGGCACACAACAAAAGCTGTGGAGCTTGGGAAAGAAATCATCCAGAAAACCAAACCAAAAGGCTGCATTCTCATGCAAAACCAGATTTCCTGTTCCCATCCCACTTTCTCGCCCTCCTTTGACAGATTGTCCGGTCTCCCAAAGGAAAGGTGAGGCCCGGGAGGAGCCTAAAGCAGGCCGCCCTGCGCTCCCGCCGCCAGGAACGCGGCTCAGTATGTCGCAAAAGGCTGTCCTGTGCGTTCGGAAATGGCTTTTTTTAAAGCTGTGAAAGGAAAACTTCCCGAAGCTGGAAGGAGGCGAGAGGCAGGGCTTTCAGCAGCCGCGAGAGCTACCTCACAGGAAGGTTCGGCCTTCGAATCGCGCGTCGAGCTCAGGCACGAACGGAGCCTGTTACGCTTGCTTTAGTCCTTGCAGGCATCAAGCCACGTCAGAAGGCTGGACGCGCTGAAAAGGCACCAGGGAGAGGCCGGGAGCGTCGCTGTGGGCAGGAGGCTCTCCAGGACTCACCGCCACAGCGGGGCTCAGCGCCACTGGCTTTGGCAAGACACAGTTTTTAAGAGGCTTGCTTATCACCGACAAAGCCAAGCTTTCCAAGCACACAACTAGACTTATTCAACTTCCAAATACAAAATACTCATCTAGTTACGCTTTTCAGTTAAAGCACACCCTCTCGCTATTAGTGTCCCAACACACAGGCCTCTCCTCCTACTTCTCAGGACAGGCTACAGCCACCCACAGCGTTATTTTCTCTAGCTTTATTATCTCAAGCAGCAAGCTTTGTAAGCCTCATCACACAAAGCCTCGCCTCACTTTTTAAAATCAGATTAAAACACAAGTCAGACTCCAGAAGAAAAAAATTCTCATAAATCCTTCCCACAGAGCAGCCCAAATGGCAATGACTAACCTCCAGAACCAGGAAAAGGGTATTTTTAGTTTAAATCTTAAGTCTGAATTCATCTGTACAGCTCATTTTGTAATAAAACCAACTGAAGCAGGTACAGCTCACTGGGTCACGGGCACATGGACGCGGCCTTGAACAAATTTTTGACACATCTGTCTGCAGAGCGTGCCTCAAGCATATTGCTAACTTGGAGATGCAGCTGGAAGGCAACAACTCAGCCACCACTACTGGATAATGAGCAGGAGGGAGCAGAATTCTGTCCACGGTCCACAGTCCAAACAGAAAGATGTCCTGCAACAGCTAATAAAATTATTCTGCAACGGGCTCCATATACTACAGAGAACTGGCAACACAAAACAGAGCCAAGAGACACAAATGAAAGCCAAAATCATCTGATTTCTGACACAAGTCATTATTTTTGTTCACAAAAATCACTGTCGTCGGAAGCTTGGCAGGAGATTTGAGTGCAAAATTCCTGCCCCCTTCGTCACGACAAGTGACGTTTCAGCATGTCGGGCGTTTCCTCTCGACTTGCTTCTTCAAGGCTCAACTTCTAAGTGGCAGACCAAAACCAAGTCAACATTGTCATTGTAGAAAAGCCAAGCTCCTACCTGATTTGCATGTCCTGCCATCATCTTCGAGCTGCACACCAGTGGGACAGGCACAGCTGTAGAAGGGGTCTCTTGGAGACAGCAGGCACAGATGGGAGCAACCGCCATTGTTTTCTTCACAGGGAGTGTGAACTTCAAGAAAACCAAACAGATTTATTTTCATTTCATCCAGAACCCCCAAAGCCCTCTTTTCTCCATGAGGAAGAAATTACAGATCCCAAACGACTGGCACAAGCTTTCAGTGCTAAAAGAAAGAGGAACCACAAAATAACGCACTCGATTCCCCCTGCCCCGGCTTCTTCTAGGGGCACCTAAACTGAGATGCACACAAGAGCTGGCTTTGAACGAGCTGACAGCTCAGCACATTCTCACTACATCATTCTTTCAACGCTTCTAAGGCTGAATACAGCCAAGAGCTTTGGACATCGGTTACTTTGTGGATGCTGGGTCTGCAAAGCATCATGAAAATAGAGAACAGGGGTTGGGGGTGAGCAGTTCTATGCAAGAAAGGAAAACATAACAATTCGTACAGTTCCTACATCACGGTAGTGTTGCATGCTGGAGAAAATCTCTTTCCTGTTGCAAAGCTTACACAGCAAGACATAGCTCTTCAATTACCAGGAAATCCAGAGGAGCAGCATGTAAAAGTCAGAAATGTTGACAATGTTAAAAAAAAAAGGGGGGGGATGACACAACAATGCACACACCTATCTCATTTACACGGGGAAAAAATGGCAGCAAGAGGTGAAACTGTAACCATAAACAATTATGGAGAATATTGCCAGCTACTAAGAAAAATAAATACTGCAATTTGAGCAAGATCTCTCAAAAATCAAGCATAGTTTGAATAAACATCTGAACTGCCTTAATATAAAAAGCCAAATTTCTGGCTAGTTTGGCTTGTGTTACTTCCACTGGTGGTCACAAAGAAGAAAAAAAAGAGAGAGAGGAAGGAATCCAAGCCCGGTCTTAATGAAGTCAATGGCATCTGAGCTATTTTCAGCATATGCTATTTCCCTCCGCGCCATATTTTCTTTGTGACTGTGACCCAAGGCTGGGACATTCCCTGAGCTAAAAGCAACAACAAGAATTCAGCACGGACAAACTCTTATCTGGGGCTGTGAGATAAAGCAGGGTGCTGTGTGTATCCGACATCCCCAATGAAAACCTGCATGTGTTCCATCACCAGGATGATCTCCAAACTCCTTTTGCTTACTTTCCAGCCTGTTTACTGACATCCTATAACCTTTACTGGAATAACAAATGTTATCTTTAAGGAAGCAGACTTTACAGTTGGCATAAATAAAGACACCAAGCCAAATGGCAAGACTATCTCTCCCAGGCAAAAGATGATTCTTCCCATAGTTCCTTCATTATATACATTTCCACATCATCACTTTTAAGGCTCTAAAAAAAACCCCCTAGACTGCCACATGGAGTGACGTGCGTATACAAAACACACACAGCCTCATTCCGTTCTCTATTCTCTGCACCTGCCATCCTTTGAAGTAGCTTCACACATAAAGAAAACACAGAGGCACATCTATGTTTCATATAAAAGCTCAGAACTAAATCCCTTCCACGCTGAAACATTCAGGAACTATCTGTGCCACATCGAAGATACTTACGATCAAGTCTGGGCTGCGAAAACTGCGCTTACGAGTACAACACGCACACTGCGTGTTTTGTGGTAATTCTACTTAGTAACAACGTAATGATCGGCTTTCTTTCCAGTTGCCTTTGAAACAATGGTGTTAAAAAGATGCCAGATGAGTCTTCATCGTTCTCACTCAGATATTCCAAATCTGAGTGAGAAAGATGAAGACTGGAATACCTGACTGAGAATGACGAAGCCTGATGTCACTGATGTCAGTGACTGATGTCACTGAAGTGCTGCACTGGATTTGGGATTTTGGCACTGCCTGGGACGACGAGCAAGCTCATACCAGTTCAGGTTGGAATTTTCAGAGGAAGCTGCCCAGTTCAGGCACTTACACCTTTAGCAACCAATCCTCTGACAAAAAAAAACCCTTACAACCTCACGCTAACCGTCTTTATGATGCACGTTTTTCCTGACAGGTAAGCAACAGCCATGCAAAAAATCCAGGGAAATGTAAAACATACAGTAAGGCTGTCGGTCTGGGCTTAAGACCTGGATGTCCATGGGGGAATACAGGGCAGACAAGATCTCTCTCCTTTTCTCCCCCGTCCTCTTGTTGCAGGCGTGGATGGAGCGCGTCTGCCAGTCCGTCCAGTAGAGAGTGTCCCCGGACAACGTCAGCGCAAAGGGGTGCGTGAGACTGCCTTCGACAACTTTTTGCCTAGATGAAAAAAACCCAAAGAGTGAGGATTACAAACGCGTCGCTTCCCGTGCAATACGTGACGTGTTGGCCCAGAGCTTCAGTTTGGTCTTTTCCCATAGCAGGGAAAGGAAGGACAACCCAAGAGACTCTTTAAATCACCCTCTCAGTCAGCAAGGAATATTCTTCAGATTCTCTTTTTAAATGTAGAGAGCAAGAGGCAGATACATTTCTTCTAAGACTAAATGTTTATAATAATATAAATCAGAAACAACTTGGAGAAGGCTGAACTCTCAGGATCGTCCTGAACAAAAGTGAGGAACATATCCTCATTTACCTGTATTCAGATCTGTGTTTGAATTATTTCCATCTAAGAGATTAAACAAAAGAAACCCAACAGCTAACACTTGGCAAGTAAAAGGATTCTGTCTCATTTTGAACAGCACAGGTACCTCTCGCTTTTTCCAGAGGCAGGGAAAAGGGGATATAAAAAGTACCTGAAAATTCTTCCTACGTATTCAGATCTGGACGAGTTTAAGAGACTGACTCATGCAAACAAGTATTTGCATATACATGTACAAAGTAGGTCATGTGCAGAAAAGAAAACAAAATTCTTCTTCTTTCTGTTCTACAGATAAAATTGAAATTGCTCGAAAACTTCCGCCCTTCAACTTATCACTCCCCCTCTCAGCACACGACAGATCAAACAGAAACACTGATTTCTCTTTCCACTCTCACCTTCGCTGCTGCTTCTTTACCAGCAACAGCAGGGGCTGTGTTCTGCTATCGTAGCAGATGTTTTCCACTATATATTGCCCCTATTTCCATCATTCTTAGATATCAAGTCTCCCTTTCTCCTGTAATTACATCCCTTGACACCGTTCCAGCCGACGCGCTCGTGAACTGCGGCTGGCTGAGAGCTAACAGGCAGACTGCTCCACTCACGCTAACCCAGCCTGCAGAGCGCACGCTGCCTTTCGCGAGTGGATTCGGAAGGGATTCGGGGACGGGAGGAGCTGAAGCATTTGAAACACGGTGAGATTTCTTTAGTGACAAGTCTGCGTGAAGTCCACCTTCACACCAGAACCCAGTGGCCCAACTTCACAGACTTCTCTTTCAACACAGATTGGTGAAAGGGAAATAAAGAAGAAGTAAAACTTCCAGACTTAAAATTAAGATGGACATTCACGGCGTTTTATCAATAGTCATAGCATTTTGAGATGGAGGTCTTATCATATGGCAACAATATAAACCATACCCAGGTAATGGCATCAAGTGACCTAAAAGTCACTGGTGTGGTTAGACACGAGGAACTTCCAGGATGCATCCAGCGCAGGAATATCCTGACCTCAAGCGTGCATTTACATCCTCCAGCAGCTGAGTAAAATATGTAAGATGCATACACCAGTGAGGGTTTTTTTTTAATGCAAAATACATGAATTTTTCCTAAAATACTGCTTCATTTGCAGTTTGACAGGAAACTGCTCGGGAGGCGGTGGCCACGCGCTGATCTATCACAAAGTGACTTGGGCAGGCTGCTGGAACTGGTGTAGTCAAGGCTCGCTCCCTTTCAGGTGGCCCTTCCCTACCCTAAAATGAGCAAAATACATTTTACTTACAATCCATTTTACTTGCTTTATGATACATTTTACTTACTTTATGTTTTCGCACACGCGATGCAAGCAAACTTCGCTCAATTCATACGTGCACGATAACTGCAGAGTCCACCCGGAAACCTTATTCAGAGCCGGCAAAATATAGTCATGTTGTATTGTATGAAAACCTCTCTCTGGGCTTTTGAGAGAGCATTTTCCTTCTGTCTATGGACCTGCACGTGTCCTTTGAGCTACCCCTCCCTTTTCCCTGGTCTGTACCTCTGTCAGGCAGCACTTGTCACTCCCTGCCATGCCACCATTACCTGGCTCTTGCCCAGTTGCTCTCAAAGGAACTTCAGGGCATTTTATAAAGGATGTCCATATTGTTATTCCTCTTTTAGGAGTGTGAAAATCAGGCACACGATGCATGGCGGCAAAAAAAAAAGGACACGGCAAACGCGGTGGGTGTTTTGGCAGGGAGGCACGTAATTCTGCTATACAGATACGTGTTAAACAAAACCATCAGATAAAACTCCTCCATCTCTCGACCAAAGCAAAACGATTTCACAACACAGACATTGAATAAATTGTGAAAGCACGGAATTGAAGGTGCAACCTGAAACATCCGTGCCCTGCCTGGGGTCGGGGGGAGCTCTCTGTGTCTACACAAGCCAGAACTCAGCGGCTCCCTTGGAGAGGAGGCATCACCCAAAGCTTCCGTACTGGGCTTTCCACCAAGCTTGAGGAAAACTGCTTCCCGCTCGCCCGCAGGCTGAGATAAGCTGGATTTGGTTAATTTATAAGCATGCCACAACGGACATCTTTGGAGGAGGCCAAGGACAAGTGGTTCTCAATGTAAATTTCCTGTTGGAAACTAAATAAATACAGGAACTATCCTGTAAAATCCCAGGCCCTAGTTAAATGTTAGATTGCCTAGGGCCAAGGATAAGCATCTCTTAAGTATTTTCAGGACAAATGAAAAATCCTGCCGTACAAACAGGATATAAACAGTCTCTAGTAAAATACTGATACAAAGCCTCTTACTTTTAAAACCAGTTTTATAGGGCATGAAGCTATTTTACTTCCTGCAGGGCTATTAACAACTGCATTTAAGAAAGACCAATAAGGTACTGGCATTCTAAATTACAGTAAAAAAAAAAGCCTCCGTTCAAAAGGAACGCAGAAGGCGAGAAATATCCGACATCAAGTTACAGATTCAAGGCGACTTACCTAAAGGAACCATCCAGGTTTGCCCGATGAATGAAACTCAGCTTTGCATCAGCCCAGTAAAGTTTCTGCTCGTCAAGATCTATCGTGAGTCCATTTGGCCAATAAATATCTGAATCAACGATTATTTTTCGCGTGCTGCTGTCCATTCCCGCCCGCTCGATCCTGGGCGTTTCCCCCCAGTCGGTCCAATACATGTACCTGAAGGGAAGGGGAGATGCACATGAATGAAATGGCAATTCAGGGGCAGAAGGGATGGCAGCTTTTCTGCAAAGCCTGTAAGTGGATATATGACATATATCCCCCAAAATTTAATGTACTTACTAATGGAATTCAAACCATGGTTCCAGACAGTGCAAAAAGACTCCTTCATGAGAGCACCTCCCACAAGCATTGCCTCTCTCCATGTCGGGCAGGCCTGGCTGGCAGAAGCACTTAGGGCTGAGCATCGCTCCTGCGAGGCCAGCTACTGCTAATTAACATCCTCAATGATGTTCCAAAGCCACTAATTACCTATCCAGGCAGGAGACCTTATGGTGGCTTCCAGGATCTCAAGGGGCTACAAGAAAGCTGGGGAAGGGCTTGTTGGGATGTCGGGCAGTGACAGGGCTGGAGGGAATGGATTGAAGCCGGAGATGGGTCGGTTCAGATGGGACGTCGGGAAGAAGTTCTTCCCCATGAGGGTGGGGAGACCCTGGCACAGGTTGCCGAGAGAGGGGGTGGCAGCCCCATCCCTGGGAGTTTTTCAGGCCAGGCTGGACGGGCCTCTGGGCAGCCTGATCTCATGCGGGATGTCCCTGCCCATGGCGGGGGGTTGGAATGAGGTGATCTCTGAGGTCCTGTCCAACCCTGACGATTCTATGATTCTCTGATTCTCAGGCACCATGGAAAAAGTAACTCGAGCACAGGACACAACAGTGTGACCACTGCTGAGCAGCAGCCCGTAGTGCTGGTACAACAGAAGGGACGCGAAGACAAAGCTGAGGAGTAAGGGGAGATTCTCAGAGCGACCTTCCAATACTTAAAGGGGGTCCACAGGAAAGATGAGGAGGAACTTTCTGCAAGGACATGCTGCGGTGGGACAATGGATAATGGCTTTAAACTGAAAGAGGGGTTATTTACATATTACAGAGAAATTCTTCACTGCGAAGGTGGTGAGACCCTGTCCAAGTTGCCCAGATTTGGGGATGCCTCATCGCTGGCAGTGCCCAAGGCCAGGCTGGACGGGGCTTGGAGCGACCTGGGCTGGTGGGAGAGAGGTGTCCCTGTCCAGGGCAGGGGAGTGGAACCAGATGATCTATAAGGTCCCTTCCAACTCAAATCATTCCATGATTCTATGGTTTGTCCTTCGTAAGGGAATGCCATCCACTGCGGGAGCAGAGCGGGGACTGTTTCTGTGCTGCTGTCATGCTCCTCAGCAGGATGTTCTCCCCTGTGCCACAGAAGAAGCTCGTGTAAACCTCAGTAGCTTTCCGGCTGCGTCACGTGAGGCTGTGGCCACTGTTCCAGCCCAGCAGGAACAGGCAGCGGCACTGCTATCCCCAGCACAAGCCCGCCAACTCACCCAGGCTTAAAATGCTCTGATCTCCTTCTACACACCGCACCCCGCTCCCGCCGCACCTCCCGTCCCAGCGCAGTCACAGCATCCTGTTATAATCACATAATTGTTTGGGTTGGAAAAGACCTTTAAGATCATGGAGTCCAACCGTTAACCCAGCGCTGCCAGTTCCACCCTGAGCCCTGTCCCTGAGCACCACATCTCCACGGCTTTGAGATCGCCTGGGGTCTCCGCCCCTGCCCCGGCAGCCTGGGCCAGGGCTTCACACCCCTTTGAGTGGAGAAATTTTTCCTACTAGCTCTGTTTTCCCCAAAATATTTTTCCTAACAATCATCTGATCATACCAGCATTTATAACCATTAGCACGTTTATCCCGCTGAAGAGGGAATATAGACAAAAATATAGACAGACATAGAAGTTACTCACTTGTATCACAGCGCACACACACACTTGAGTGCAGGAGGGTAAAACAAGGAGTTTTCTAGTTGAAATAGTCAAGCCTCCACGCAGACGAGCCCTCAGGTTTCTGAAACAGCTCACCTGAGAGCAGCTGCAGCCACACGTGTCCCCAGATGCCTTCCCCAGATCCCCCGAGCTCCAGCAGCCCGGAGAGCCCGAGGAAGTGGCAGGGGGAGGC